TGGGACCTAAATTCAAAAGAAAAAGAAATTTTACAGAAAACTTGGCATGTATAAAGTTAGACATGCTACCCTCTGCAGGATCAAAAGAAACAGAATATGGATGATGTATGTGCCGGCATTTCTCTCTCTCTCAAAATCAGAAAGAAATTATTTATAGATCTAACTCCTCCACACAACTCCAAAAAAGAACTAGTCAGGAGTTTTCATGGTAATTATAGCAAACTTTATATATTAAGCAGAAATTATGAGTTATTCAATGCATACAATAATATAGCTAGTTCTTTGAATTGTCTCTCAAATTATTGAATTATGTTTGGTATCCTTACTCAGTCTTCAATCTTTGGTGTGAAACTGGCATACATGAAAATAAAACAAAATTAAATTTTAAGTTTTATGTCATATTATAAAGTTTTTGTGGAATTATAAAATCCATAAACTAGCTGAATTCAGTCAAATAACACTTAGTGAATCATTAACATTGACTTTCAGATTTATTCTACTGACTCAGTGGGTTTTTTGGTGAAAAAGTTCCTTGAGATATAAGTTATGGAATTGGAACCAGGTCCTTAATCACTGTTAGACCATTTAGCATCTGGTCTTACTGAAATCAATGGCAAACACAAATTCCCTAACATGGGTGAAAGACTAGCTGTGTAGTAATAACAAATAACCCAAACATAATGGTCTGTCAAGAACACTAAAAAAAGACTTCAGAAATTTTGGAGAAGGCTGTGAGTGTGATATGAGATGAAGTTGCTGACAAGTAACAATCTTTTTCTCAGCTGGTGAGCTTATTTTGTTCCTGTCTGATTCATTGATGCTGCTGGTGTATTTTGGGCCTACAAACTTTTTATGACTCTTTCTCTTTTTACTACTTTAAATCTGGAAAAAATAAAAAATAATAAAAAATAAAACAAACACTGAAGTTGTTTCCTTTTCCCAGAAAGATAAAAATAAATAAATAAATAAATAAATCACAGCCTAATATGTTTGCTTCACTGTTTCTTTAAAAAGTGCCTGAACACTTTATTTACTACTAATATTAAAGAACTTCTGAGTAAAACTGAAGGTTTCTATAACTGAATTAAACAAATATATGAGCATCAAAAACAGAAGACATACAGCTTTTGGGAATCTAATCGGAATTCAAGACACAAGCATTTGCAACAGCTACACTATCTCTGTGGATGCAAACTACTGTATCCACAAAAATCCTACAAAATATTTTACTTCTGCCAGAAATTTGCCCATTCTGCATTTTTATGTCATTCAAATGGCATCAAAATACAATTTCTAACATATGCCAGTACTTAAATAGCTGTACATATACATATATGAAGATAATATATTTACTGACATTAACATGACACAAAATTAGCATCAAGACTGTAACATGCTGTAGGCTACGATACAATCTTCTCTCAAAGTTTATTATTTTAAATATACCAATTATGCTTTATCACCTAATAAACATAGAAAATAGAGTGATTAGCTTCTCAGAACATAATTTTAAAGCAATCTAATTTGCAATATTTATGAGATGACACTGCATGGTCTATGAAAAGCTAAATGTTATTTTACCAAACAAAATCCAAAATATAATTGTATTATCTGTTTTTCAAGCATGAGTGCCACCTATGTGTCAAATCTATTTAAAACAAATATTTAAACATTATCACAATAAGTCAACAACATTTGATCACTAATCAAATGTTAAAAGGGTATCACTGTTAAGAGGCTGGAATGAAAGGCTGGACAGAAATGTTTGTGTGTGACTTTCTAACGTACTACACTGGATGTTCTTGCCTTCAAGTATATTATTTGTACATTGCCTTCAATCTTTTAGTTTGCAGAATTTCTGGGCAAGAAAAACATCATATCAGTTCACAGACCCATCCAACACGGGTGCCCCACCACTGGGCACAGCTCCAATGGAAGGCAAGTGTTAAGAGCGGCTGTTAGCTGGTCTTCCCCCTGGGAGCTGTCCTGGTCACTATGGTACAAAATCCCAACCACACAGTGGAGGTCACTGGATCCTGGTTCTTTTTCTGGATCATCATGAGTCAAAAGAGTGAATTATGAAAAAAACTAAACACAGACTGGCCAGGGAACTTCATTTTTTTTCAGCTAATGGGGCAAGCTTGCCTGATCCTCCATATGATGGTGAAAATAAATCTCAAATGTGTCTACTGGAAAATGTTCACACAATAAACATGGACAACAACCAGCTGTCATAACAATTCCTTATTGACAAGTGATGAAAGTTAAAGAACTGAACTTCTGTCTGTGATTAGCACTGGAAGAGACTAATGAAAAAGACTAGACAGAATTGTCAGTCATTTGGTGGAGGAGAAACATGACTAAAGCCTACAAAAAGCAAATTCTAACCTGTACATAAAAAGGAGAAGATAAATCTTTAAATGGAATAACAAGATACTAATTGTAAGGAAAGAGTAAAGCCAGACCATTTTGTTTATATGAAAGAGTAAAATCAGACCGTTGTTTATGTGAAAAAGAGTAAAACCAGAAAATTTTGTTTAAGTGAAAAGCAGGTTCAAAGTTGTTCTAAGCCAATGACAGCCCTGCCTTCTTCTTAAATATGAAGAAATCATAAATGAAGCTGTGGAACATATTATTCTTTCTATTTATTAAACATTGCTGACAAGAAACTGATTGCATGTGGAGACAGTATTTGCATCTTCTCATAGCTTACTACTTTCAAATGAGAACATAAAATGCTGACAAACTTACTTTTGTCTGCAGGGATCTAGCTCAATAATTAATTTAGGGATTGAAGAGATGCTAAAAATCTCAGACTATATAAAATATGTATCAGAAATAATGTCACTGGGTGATTGACTTCTCTAACGTAACTGAAACTCATGGTACTGTGTTTTTATGTGTATGTGATGTCACTGATAACTGTTCAATTCTTTTAGTATGAAACAATAACATCAGGTGCATAACCATCAAAATTAGCAACCGACTATAATGGTTCCTCATTTATTAGACATATTTTTGTTCTAATGTTTACTGTTCTAGTTTTAAGTCTTAATTTATAGGTAATTTCTACTTGGTCACATATGTTTAGGAGAAGTCAAAGACAAGTTTATCCTTTCAGGAAGATCTGGGTAAAAGCACAGCACGTAGGAAGTTCAAGTGCTGTTTAATAAACCCATCTTTCTGTAATATCATAGTACCTATAATATTTGTTAAAAATGAAGCTGAATGTTGTTTTTTGTTGTTTACATTTGAAAGGAACTACATTCTCAGATTTTTTGTATGTTCATTGTCCAGTTGGGTTATCAGAACAAGTTTAGAATGGTTCTACAATTTGTCCTATTAAAAAGTGAAGTTAGGAACATCTTTGATGTTAACAATCCATAACTGAATGGCAACTTGCTTCAACACTGACTTTATAGACTTTCCATTTTATGGATTTCAATCCAGTATTGTCAGTGCTTCCATTATGGCAGAGACAACCAATTCACGAAGTTGAGCATGAGTCAGCAGTGTGCTCTTGCTGAAAAGAAAACTAGGCTGCTTTAGGTGAAGTGCTGCCAGCAAGTCAAGGGAAGTGTTCTTTCCCTCTACTCAACAGTGCTGAGGTCATACCTAGAGTATTGTGTCCAGCTTTGGGCTGCCCCAAGAGAGACAACGGCATGTCTTCTATGAGGAAAGGCTGAGAGATCTGGATAAGAGAAGGCTCAAGGGGAATCTCATCAACAGAGACAGACTCTTTTCAGTGGTACATAAGAGAAGAGGCAACAGGCACAAATTGAAACACAGGATTTGTCTGAACATTAGGAAACACTGTTCCCTCTAAAACAGCCGTGAAAAAGTGGCTGAAATCATGTCATTCCTATAGAACTAGTTTAAGTCAGAATTTAATTCTAGACAAATTCTCTCCTCTCCAGGACAGAGTGCCACTGACATTAAACTGCTGAAATTCTCTCCACATGGAAGAATAATTTGTTAGATTTCAATGGAGTCTGTCTGGATTAATGGGTGTAAATGACAATTGAGAACTGTTGTTCATTTTATTTTCACACCTCATCTAATGCATTTTGGTTGTGAAAATGTCAACAGAATGGAGAAGGACAGATATCTTACTGTTAGTTTTAAATTGGATTTTTTAAGAATGTAAAATTTAAGAATATAGACAACTAGAGTTCGACATGAATGGTGCATCACTTTGGAAATAATATCTTTACTGATTTTTTTACACCGATTTTTTTCTTCAGTGAATTATAAATAACAAGACTATGATACTCTGACATAGAGATGAATATATTGGACATCTTAATTTCTTCTACTGTGGAATTGTGACTGGAAAACAAAATTTTCACTTATTGAAAATAAAATCTCAACTACATATGCTTCATAGCTTTAACGAGAAACAACCTAGCAGCAATATTGCTCTGCCTCATCCTCATGTCTATACATTCAAAGTGAAATTTAGGTTTGTGGAAAAGCCCTTCAGAAAAGAACTCTGAGCCAAGAAAAAAGTAACATAACAGGTTTCTAAATTTTCATTGAAAAAAAAAGTGATAATGGCTTGCTTTAACCTTTCAAGATCCCAGATAAAGTTATGCCTTTCAATAAAGTGGGGAGTAGAAGAAACGGTATATGCAAAGACACATTACTGACAGACATCACAGACAAAAAACAAACAAACAAACAAACAAACAAACAAACAAAAAACCTACAACTTATTAGAAATTACAGTAGTTAAGAAGACAACTTTCCTTTTCAACATCTGTTTTTCTGTTTTCAGATACTTATAACTTTCTAAATAACTTCCAACTGTTTATCTAAATACAATTTTTATACATCAGACATCATATCCATGTATATATCATATATATATAGACACACATGCATATGCATGTATATATACACACACATCATAAGTTCCACTTAACTGTATTTTTCATATATTCTATTTTCCACATAACTACTGTGTAAATTATAGTGTATATAGTAACCTATTTTCTTACCATCAATCCTTGGAGGACTGTGGCCACTGATGAGGACATCAAAAGAGTTATAGCCAGGGTTCACTGGGATTTTATTACTAGAGTGCTTGCATGCTCTCAGGATAGATTATTTGATTTCTCTATATGCCTCTTACCCTACCTGTAAAATGGAAAAAATACTTTATGAACATGTTAAACAGCACGGACTCATTATTAAGAGGACTAGGGAGAGTGTACAGTGTCACAGCTGGAGTGCATATGTGACACCTTACCAACATATGATGCAAACAAGTAGGAAAAAAATGAGGTAGCAGAGGGAAATAAACAAACACATACTTATCATTTTCTTCAGTACCCTAGAAATCTATACTTGATATAAAAAAAATAATTAAATAATTTAAGATGTACAAATGTGGTATGATATGAATGTACTTTGATAGACATTGACTCAGATTGGTGAAAAAGTGAGAAAACAATTTAGGACCTATCAATGAATAAAGGCAGAATTCACCATATTTATACTCATAAGTGCTGTGAAATATGGAATAAGACCAACTTTCGTCTTGAGCTTTCTGGATTTTCTCATCCAGTCTTTACCTCTCCCTGCTATCTCCATATTCATATTAATTCCCATGAAAAATGTACATTGTTTAAAGAACATACAAGGCCTCAATTATCTAATCCTCTTTCAGTGTCATCTTAAAGAGGTAGATTAAAAACTATAAAACAAGAATGAGCCTCTTTACATTCTTTTAGAGTTTACTAGGCTACTACCACTCTAGAACAATCCAATGGTCTAACTAGTCCACTGAAGTGAAGTATTACTTCTGTAGAGAATATATAGTAAGTGGTTCCAGAATATTTATTTCATAAAGCAAAATAAGGGAAAGAATGAACTTGCACTTAAGCCATGGAAAAGTTACAAGGGAATATGTTTTGGAGGCAATAAGAGGAAACAGATTTAATACATATACATCTTTGCTTCTCTTAGAACAAGAGTCTAAGAAATTCTAAAAGAAAGTTGTGGTCAAGAATATTTCTCACTCTTTATTGACTGTATGTTAGAAATGATTATAAGATTTTAAGAAATCCTGTCAGTTGTGACTGGTGAAAATGATGGTAAAAATATTGGTTATTTAAAGTGTATATTTAATATTTTTTCCATCAGTGATACTTAAGACTCAGTTTTCCTATCATCTCCCCAAACATCTTTCCCAATGGGTATGGTAGAGTTTTTAATTGAAACCTACCTTATTGAATCAGATCTGATCTTCAAAATCTAAGGAAGAACCTCTTCTGAAGGGCATTTCTGATAATGAAGAGGACAAATATCCTGCAAAGAACAAAAAATTAATTTAAAAAGTTGTACATCATGATTATAGGATTGTATTTTTTTTTAGGGAAAAAAAAAAAGAAAAGTAGTAATGCATAGGAGTCTGAATTTGGTTAAAACCTGTAAAATTGCTTTCTTTTTACTTGCGTGTGCACCCCCCATTTTTCTCTTTCTATACTTTTTCAGTACTTTAGACTGAAACTGCATTTCCTAATAATCTTATCTGCTTTATACCCCTTTATGAATGTAGGTGGAAATGATCTTCAACATGGTGAAAAAAATGCACAAACTATCATTTAACAGATGAGAAGTAGTAGTGGCATCTAGGTTTACAGTACTATAGTATAGGACAATAAGTTGGGGGATTAATAAGAATACAGGAATAACGGACTAAAGTTTACAAAGTTTGAAAAAAATGTGTGCAAATACATTTGGTGAAACTCAGGAGGACAAGGGACAGGGGGTTTCATTAAAAATACCTCTAGTGCATCTTTACCAAAAGTAGGCACGGCAATCTTTTTTTTTTTTTTTTTTATTCCAACCTCTATTAAAATGGGATCTCCAAAATCAGGAGTCAGTTGAAATTAATCATGAGTTTTGGAAAACTCATTTGATAATTCTCTATGTGAAATCATAGACACAAAAGCAGGAATTAGCATCTGTGGTGCTAAAGAACATAAATCATATTTTACTAGAATTCCTTTTCTAGAGGAGAAATTTAGACGAGAATAGAGATTTAGGTTCAAAGTACACATTTAATACAAGCTCTCCCAAAAGCAAAGGTATAAAGCCGTTTTAATTTTATATTAAAAATTTTCCCTGGAAATAGCATAATTAAAGAAAAACTAATTTTAAAACAAAAATACTGATAATATCGAAGTATTCCTATTTTGATAATTTGTAGAACAATCTATTCCATGTTTTGCCTGGTTTTATTCATTTTTGTTATTTGTTTATATATTTTTTCTGATTATGTCTCCTCTCTCTCTCCAACAGTTATTTCTTTCATTCAAAGGAAAATAATGCCAGATACATAAATATCAAGAAACAACGGGGTCCAAAGTGATTATTTTTATGTATATTTTTCTTTAATATTTCCTTAGGAATTCAAATCCTTATTAAGATGACAGAATTACAGTGTAATAGATGATTCATGTTCTCCATGAATTCCCCTTTCTCCATGACTTCCCCAGATATAAGAAAAAAGGATTGGTTTGTTTTTGCCATCTATACAGCTACATAAACATGTATGTACCCAAATACATATATAATGATATATTGTAAGTCTAAAATATTGTCATTGTTAAGTTTTTGTTTGTTTTACATTCCAAAACACTGCAGGAATGGATATTTAAAAAAAAAAAAAAAAAAGCATTTTTTCGTACACCTGTGATTTAAAATAAATAGAATTTTCTCATACATTTATCCTAAAATACTGTTGCCTGTGTTTATTACATAGCATATGCTTGTTAAATCCATAATGGAATACAATGGAATGAGAAGTAGATTCAGACTGGTCCTTGACCTTGTTAGTCTAAGATTTTCCACCAGTTTCTAGGCAGTGTTATTGTTTCCTTTAAATTGATGCTTTACATATAAGAACTTGAGCTTGCTGAAATTCACCAAAATAAACTTCTCTTTTGCTAAAGTACAAAGGCCTAACAACATCAAAACACCACCAAACCTGAATCTACTCTCCAAACAAAGCCCCTAGGATAGATTTTAAGAGGTATTCAGATGCATAAACATTGGAACATTTTGAGATTTACAGAGTTTAAGTTCATTAATCACCTAAGTGTTGTATGTCTTCATCTTCGAAAGCTTTTCAAACAAGAACACCATTTGTCTCCTAATAACATGTGCTAAATGTATAAAGTCCACACATAATTTACGGGACTAAGAAATACTTCTTAGAGATAGTCAGTACCATTTGTGTCAGCTTAATCATAACAAGATATTGGTGGCTATTCCAATTTTTATTTTTTTAAAAAGACTTCATTTCTCTTTATTACTTCCTTTGAGCAGAAGAAACCCAAAAGTTTGTATGCTCTGTTATTTGGTTGGAGGCTGAGTATTGCAGGATTATAAACCAGTCATTAATCCTGCTGGTCAATAAAACAAAACAAAAGCCTGTCATAGTAGCTGGGGTTGTTCTGTGCAGACTGAAAATATATTAATATACACGCAGATTCATATTTCCTTCCAGAATTTCTAAGACAATATCTGAAATACCACCCCACTATCTTGCTGCAGAAAACTTCAAATACCATCCTATACATTCCTTCCTTAACAAACTGATTGATGTTTGCTCTGGGCTAGTTCTGTATTACACCCATGCCCATCTTTGGGATTTGATTCTGTAAAGCATTTAAATGAGATATTTATAAGTCAATCATACTGATGAAGACCTCTATTCCGAGCTCTAGAATGGCAAGGATTTTTGCTTTGGTTAAATGAGAGCAAGTATATAAATATACCCCAGCCCTTTGTCACACAACAGTGTAGGAGTAGATGATTTTTTTAGGCAAGGTGCTAGAAGTGAGAAGGAAGCTCTAACTACTTGCAGTTATGACACATTATTATTCATTGCGTAGTGCATCAGTCAGACTGTCATAATGCACAGTAGAGAGCACGCACATTATTGATGCTGAACAGCACTGAGAGGGATTGCAGAGGCACAAGTCATTTTGAGGAAAAATCTCTGTCACAATCCAGGCACAAGTTTGCTGCTCATTGTGGAAATGATCTGGCAGCACAAACTAGGGGATCATCAACTGAATCCCAACAACCACAAAATTACAGATCAAGACGTATTTGTAAGGTTTCCTGAGAAGCAGTCGGAATTCAGTATGTAAAGTATTCAGTTAATATTATTCAACCACATCTATTAGTCGTAGGTAAAGTGATCTGAACAACTACCAGGTCAAATGTGCAAACAGTGAGTGGTCGGCACAACACTTTGCTGAAGAGGAAGGTTAATGGCAGAAGCTGCAAGGTCAAAAGCAACATAAGAGTAAAATTCAATATCACCCAAGAAGAATATAAAGAAATAAGGCATTAAAGTAAGGAGGTCAGATACAGGCATCATGTTTTAAATACACAGACACAAAAAAAAGAAGAGGAGCCAATTAGACACGTATGGAAGCCTGAATTTCCTGAAGAAGAAAATTTCAAGTTACATGTATAAATAATTAAGAACAGCTTCCATATCTTTGAAAATTAGCCTACATGTATATGAACAAAGCTTTATACGTCTTGTTTCCATTAAAATTTGCCTCTTCAAGTACTTGCAGAAAATTAAATCACAATAAGCAAATTCACTTTTCATTCCCCTGTCCTTTAGCCAGTTGCAATACTGTGACAACTTTTTCAATTTTTCTGCTTCTCCCTCTTTTTTCCCCATATACAGCCACATTCTCTGTTTGGGTTTTTGTTTGTTTGATTGGTTGGTTGGCTGGCTTCTTTGTTTCTCTAAAATAATCTTCTAACTTGGAGTAAAGAATAATAAAAATAAAAATCAGCATTTAGCAGCAATTCAGAGAAATAGTTCTCAAACATAATTATCAGGTCAGGAAGCATTATTGCAGTGCCATTGCAACCAGCACTGTGTGAGGCCTTCTTGCTTCTAGCAGCTGGTATCATTGCCTACAAAGCTCATCTAGGCTTCACTCATGCTTCACTTTTTAGAATACTGTGGATAACAGGATACAAAAGAAATTATATTAAACATGCTGTATTCTTCCTTGTTAGAGTAACATTTAAGCAATAATGATTGAGGTGCACAGTATTCCTGAGAAACTAACTCACAGAGGAGCTAATAATCATGGCCCCCTATCAATAATATCAATTTGTAAGTAATCATATAATCATTTAGGTTGGAAAACCTTTAAGAACATCTAGTCCAATCTTTAAGATATTATAGAAATATAAGATTAAAAAAAATCTAAGTTTACTTCTTATAAAGTGATAATAACAAAAACAATCAGTAAGTTGTATGAATACAGAACTTTTCATCACAGTTTGTCTAAAATCACCACATCGGAATTATTTTAGAGACCACAGATATGTGATCTCTGTGGTGGAGCATAACTTCTGGTAAATGATTCACAGTAGTACAACATAGAATATTCATACCAAGAAAAAAATAAAAAAATAATAAAAAAAAATCTTTTCAATCTTTTACAATTTTAATAGGCAAAATACAATTATGCAAGTGGAATTCAACCAGCAGATTATCATTTTTATCATTATACAAAAGACAGTGATATCAAGGGACCCGAACTAAACCTTCTAATTTCATTAGGATTGTTATAAACAGCACAGAGCATGTCCCTCCTACTCTGACCATTTCCTACCTCACTGAACACTTTGAGAATAGTAAGACAACAAATTAGGACAATGATACTGCTGGCAAAGGCATTATGAGAAGGTCAGGATGAATATCAAATATTCATATTAGAAAGCATTTATGCATTCATATTTTCATTAACAAATCAATTTCTTTCAGTAAACTCAGTATCATCCATGATTAATTTTTCTTTATATTCAGAATTATTATCCAACTATTTTTAGCAAAACTTGATAAGAAAAAACAAAAACAAAAAAAAAAAACAAAAAAAAAAACACAACAGTGAGGGAGGAATGAATTAGGTACTCCAATGCTGTCCTTGGTGCTGAATCCACCATTGCAAAGCTGGTCCACAAATTCCTAACCAGTTTTGAACGTCACACAGTTGGAGAAAAATACTATCATGTGCACTAACCTATGCGACAGAAATGCTTCATAAGAAAATAAATATTATATTTTTAAATGTGAATGAAAATATTGAATTGGCAAATCTAAATACAGAAAAGCAGGGATCAAGGAATTAAAAAAAGAACAGAGAACACCTTTGTATATCCAGTCTCCCAGAAATATTAGCTAAGTGAAGTGATGGCCACTGTGCAATATCATTGACTCGGCATTGTGAGACATCTGGTTACTTTCTTTTAGCTTTATT